AAGAGTGTCCCACAAGAGTGTCCTGCAAGAGTGTCCCACAAGAGTGTCCCACAAGAGTGTCCCAAATGAGTGTCCCACATGTCCCAGAAGAGTGTCCCGCAACAGTGTCCCACAAGAGTGTCCTACAAGAGTGTCCCACAAGAGCTTCCTACAACAGTGCCCCACAAGAGTGCCCCACAAGAGTGTCCCACAAGAGTGTCCTGCAGGAGTATCCCACAAGAGTGTCCGACTAGAGTGTCCCACAAGAGTGTCCCACAAGAGTGTCCCGTAAGAGTGTCCCACAAGAGTTTCCTACAAGAGTGACCCACAAGAGTGTCCCACAAGAGTGTCCTACAAGAGTGTCATTTGGACATATGTAGCTTTTGGAACGTGTTTGCATTCGGGTTCGTGGGCTCCATCTTGTATTAATCTTCCTGCAACCATGCAACTTGCCTTCAATGAGGCAAGGAAGATTCTATCAACCCTACAATATCATCACTTGAACGGCAAACCCCCTCCAATTTGTCAGTTGTTTGCTTCACGATGTGTAATACCCTTCGCGTCGGATCTGACTTTGTCCATTGGTCATGGCAGTTTCATAGTACAATGTTCAAGTCCGCATCGTCCAAGTCACAGCCGAAGTGTCAGGAGGTGCTGCAAGTGAGGTCTTGGAGTGCAAACGATACCTGCACACGCCACTTGCAAATCCTCGCATGCAGTCCTTGTCACAGTTCTTTGGAAGCTCCCTGACACAAATTTGATGGATATGATTTCCAGGGTTGGTCATGCCTTGGCACCTGTGGGCGTTTTCGAAGCTGGTGATCACTTGTCTGGTAGTACTGGGTGAGGTCTTGAAATATCCTAAGTGCACAGCTGGAAAGCCTGCCAGCCCTGGGTTCGCAAAGATCTGAGCATGCCTGCCCAATGGGGATGCATGAAAATAAACCTTACGTTCCTTCAAGGAAGAAAGCACATACATAACATCTACAGTGGATATCATAGAATCATATCAAAGAGTATACTGTAGATTCTACAGTATATATACTCTTTGATATGATTCTATGATATGATTATAGTCACACCCCTCTGACCAAGCCAAGTGCAGCCAAAGTAACTCCGAATCCAAGGCGTTCTGTCGCAAGTGAGCCATTCCCACCCGCGAACTTTGGGCCAAGCACCGCAATGCGACCTCGTCCCAGGTCTCTACCTAAAAGCGGAAGTGACTCTGCACGAAGCTCTGGGTGATCATACTATATCACATCCACAAGCACTCTGCGAGGTGATTCGCGGCAAAGACAGACCAACACTAAGACTCTGGACGTTGTATAGAAGTTGCAGAGTGTTCCAAAATGGTTAGGCTGGTCGGGGGG